TGCATAAGAAATCAAAGGGGCAGGAAAGCTATTACAACGAGTTCATGTTTCTCTTTTACAATAAAGAACAACCAAATCTAAATTTAAATCTAAATCTGCAGATAACTATGATTTGCATGGTTGCAAGTATAGCCAGAGGGGCAACATCAAAGCTTTACAAATATGTGTATTTCCGTGGCAACCTATAACTGACTACTCTACCTGTCTGTGTTTCCTTTTCCTCTTTTAAATGGGTCGTAGTGTAGTTTGCTGCTACATCCTAGGGTAGATGGATAATCAATGTCTACAAAAAGGGAATCAGTTTAGGGGGTGGGGTGTTGAAAACAGTCAAATCCATTGAGGGGCCATCAGAATGAGCTGCTAACCAATCTGCACACAAGTTCTCTTCTGGTTGAATATGATTAACAGTGCAGTTCCAATTTCGTTTGAGCAGATTTCGGCACAATTCAATGAGGGCACAGTGACGATCCATTTGAGAGGGAACTACCTTCACACACTCCACAGCTTGAAGGGAGGTAGATTCCACCACTACTTTCTTATACCCTTTTTCCCAAAGAAGCTTCATTCCATGAAACAGTGCCCATAATTCTACCCCTAAACGTGTGCATGCACCGATGTTGAGATTGAAGCCAAGAATCCACTGTCCTGAATCATCACGAATTATCCCGCCAGCGGCAGCAGCAGCATTGGTATCAGCCTTTGATCCTGCTATATTCAACTTAACCCAGCTTGAAGGGGGAGGCCTCCAGGACAGTGGTGCCTCCTTTTTGACAGAAAATGTGGTATGAAGCTCCTTGCTGATATCCGGCTTATTACATTCAACCTCAATCTCAGTTTTGACCTCTAAAGGGCAAGAGCCATGGAATAAAGCAGCAGATGTTCGAAGTGTATCCACCAATACTTCCTTGGGAGCACCCATATGTCCTGAAACAGTTGAAAAGTTGTCATCTGAACTTTGTGATGGGAGCTCACCGATAGTTCCTTTCTTAGACCTTCCACAGATATTCCTCAATAGATCTTTAGAAACAACCACATCAGCAATTCCCACAGTCTTTCCGCCTACCATGTCAATGTCCATGTCACCGTCCATATCTTCTTCCATCTTTTCAAGAATTTGATAATTATGTCCTACCATGTCAATGTCCATGTCAGCATCCATATCATTGTCCATCTTTTGAAGAGTTTGATAATTATTATGTACATCGCAGAACACTCCCAAGAGGAACTCTGTCTCCATCCATCTGCATACATCTATATAAACACAAAAATATGTCACCTTTTGAAGACGGCAAAGGCACATAAGAGACATTTATAAAAAAAAAAAAAGAAAAAGAAAAAGGAAGTACAAAATACAAGTTATTACCGTCAAGGACAAGCATCCTAGTACTTGTACATGGAGGATATAGAGTCCAGGTTCTTCACACACTTACAATGTTTAAAACGACAAGATATTACCATCAAGGACGAGTATCCTACTACTTATACATGGAGGATAAAGAGTCCAGGTTCATTTTTCACATGCTCAGAATGTTTAAATTCTGTATTTTAAGATACCCAGTTGTTGATAGAATGATGTAATTTTCAAATCTAGAATGAACCTTTTGGTCCAATGGCAAGTGTCGTTTTGGAAACCAAAGGCCAAAGTCAATATCTAGATTCATTATGCCCGCATTCTATACCTTAATATCTAAGCACAAACAACCTGTAATATTTTCACTGTACTGGAAGGAACCAAATGACCATTGGTTATTGATAATATTAAAGATATGACTACATACTTAAAAAGAGATAAAAATTTAATCCTGTACATGGGCAAGAGACCCAACTAATTTGACATTAAGGCTAATTGAGTACAAATGTGAAGCGTAATAATTTACTTTTCTATGTGTATGAAATTCATGCAACACTACATAGGTCATCTTCATGAGGAAACCGTTCCTAGTACCTAGTCATTTTGGATGCAGAAAACCACATGTAAATTCAATTGCTTTATTAACAGCATTTTAATCCCCTCAAATCTCAACACTGCTTCTGACCCAGGAAACAGGAAAAAAAACAACTTAATACTGCCGGTCTGCTGCTAAGAGGACTAATTAGCACCAATCACCACCCTCCTCAGCTAATGAATAAATGTACCATTCTTGAAATAACTTTCACCAACTGTAGAAATTGCCAAAAGTTTTCAGGACATGACTAACTTTTATGTGGTTGTAAAGAATACAAAAATCCGAGAAAAACTCTAGAATCTAACTGTAAACATGTTCTACAGAAAAGCTGACTGAAAAAATCTTGCAAGTGAAACTATAGAGCTAACCCTTGGAATCTTCTTGAAGCTGATTAGATGTAAATATCAACAACCCTACACCATCAATATCAGTTCTCAGTACTGAATTTTCTTTCTCCATGAGCTTGAACAGATAAGTGTAGTTCTCTTTCGACCTGTACATAAAAGAAAGGCATTGTAATAAACAAGATGTCTTAAAAACTAAAATAAAATAACAAGAAAGCCAAATGCTTGAAGTTAAAGCAAACCTCTTGATATTATCCTCAGGGTAAAAATACAGTCCAATGTCACGAATATCAGGAAAATCATTATGGAATAAATCTGTCTGAAAATGGTGACAGGGGAGCAATTCAACCTGAATGACCATGGGAATCCTCTGTCCAAGCTCATATGCTTTGCAATGGACTCTGCATGGAGGTTGAGCCAGGAAACCACCATAAAGGTCATCTGATATTGCAGCATTGATAAATTTGAAGCTTCCCCTAAAAGAAGGATAGAAAAAGGTCAATGAGAAAGAAGTCATGGTTCTATTTTATGAGTTATTCTATGGAAATTTTACCATGAGCCCTGGTTGGTAATTTACTTGTTATTAATTAGCTTCTGATTATTTTTGAGTGCTAGAGGTAGCAGAGGCTTTAGATTAAACCTGGTATGCTTTTGTTCTGAAGCTCAACTTTATTTCTTTTGTCCCAATACATAGCCCACAAAACTTATTTTCTTAAGACCACTATGCTAGCTTGTACAGAATTTTAGAACTGTATTACATCACCAAGGAATGATTTAAGCTTTTGTGAGCTGCTGGTTGATGGAAACTCAAATAAAAGAATTGAACATACTTATGCAGGTCCTGAAAGCATTTTAAGTGGCCACTGGCAATCTACAACTATGAATAATACTTCAATATCATAAGCATAGAAGAGGCATCTAAACCCTAAAAATTGCACATCGGAAAGTGATGTAATGGTCTAAAACCTTCCAAGTTTGGATCCTACAAGATAATGACATTACCACTTTATTTATTTTGAAGAAAGAAATAAGATGTCGATCAGATGTATTTTCACTGATTCTCTAGGTAATGGTTCACCCTACATTGATAATTACCAAAAGAAAAATAAACTTCAGACTTGAATTTTACTATTCTATGACATGAAAAAACCTTTTTTGCTGAATGTTTTCAACAACTAGATAATTTTTGTAGCATGGAAGAATAGATTTGAAATAATGAGTTCAAGAGGAAGGCTACTCACCTCCAAGTAGCATATTGAGCAGGAAGCCATGGCCAATACAGGGTAAGTTTATGTTGAATGCCGGAAGCTTCTTTTCCTTCATTATCAGGACTCTTAGGGTCAGCTGTAGCATGAAAGTTATCACCTGAAAAGCCAACTAGATATAAAAAGAGAAAAACATATATTAACCAGTTTAACAATGTGAAAACCAAGTAATCATACAGCAAAGGGGGTATCAACTACAAAAAAGTTTCAATACAAACAAATCCACAAAAAACTCAAATATGCAACTTCAAAATTATTCCCCGAACCCTAATAGCATGTTTGCTTTGAGGGAAATGGAGGGGAGGGATGAGTTTTTTAACCAATCAAATTATAATGTTTGTAAATATTGCAATCTGATTGGTTAAAACTTGCATCCCTCCCCTTGCCTTTGTCTCCCTCAAACCAAACATACTGTAAGGTAAGAGTAGTTTTCTTCTTCTTTTCCTGCCAACAAAGTGCAGATGGAACAAAGCATCCCACTACCATTTGAAGAGAGAATTTTGTTATTCTAAGATTATTTTATAGATTTTAGATGCCAATAGCAAATATGCCTTCCCACTTATTAGGCCAGAAAGAAATTCCTTTCTGGAAAAACGTATGAGTATGAGACAAATTACTTGCCTGAATTGAGTATAGTAGACAGAGGTCTTGAGGTGGAGGACCTGCTTAATCTCTTACGCTTCTCTATCTTCATAGTAAAAATTTTGAGCTCTTTAGCAGGTTTAAGGGCGTCTACTGGCTGTTCCTTGCAAGCATCATTAGGAACAACAAGGGTCCTTTTTTCTGAAAAGGAAACATAAAAGTAGCAAATCATAGCCATATGTCAAAGACACAAGGGAGTGTTATCAATAGCGGATAGCAGCAAATAGCAGAAAGGCCGAAATCTGCGATGATAGCGTAGCGGCCGCTATAGACAAATAGTGGACCTTTAATAAAAAAATATAAATATAAATATAAATCTAATAATTAAAATAAGAGACAAATCTAGTAATAAAAGGCATAAAATGACCTAAGAGTTTATAAAAATTATAAAAAATTATAAAAAACAATATTCTCAAGTCTCAACAAATAAAAATCATAATTTATAATAATCAAACAAGACAATAAAATACTTAAAGAGTACAAAAGTCAAACAAGATCAATTCAGAAAAAAGTTCAGATAATAGAACATTAAAACAGAAAATCATTCAAGAGTCTAATAGTCCTCATCACTCTCTTCTGCTTCTAATTCTTCTTGCTCAGCCACCAAATCATCATCATCCTTGTCTTTCTGACTTGTTCCACCAGGCTCCAACTCCTCTTCTTCCTCCTCTGACTCGTCAAGATCTAAAGTATGAGCCTCTTCACTAATTCTAGTAGCATAAACTGCATCAACACTAGAGGTTAACACTAGAGGTTGTGGCTGGCGTTCTAAAGGTTAGT